CGATGATTCACGTGCCTATTTGCAAACAATTCAAATGCAGTAAATTGAGAGGAAATATAAATCAGGTTCCTAAGTGAAGCTGCATAAATCCAATAAATGATTGATGAGAGAATCCTGTTTTAAGACGCTGTTGTCTGTCTCCAGTGCTGAGGCAGAAAATAATGGGCCCTTCGCCTCTGGGCTGTGGAGAACAGAGCAAGTTGCACCGACTTCTGATCCCCACTCAAGGTCAGATGCAGCTTTCTCTCTCCACCTGGCCCAGCTGCCCAAGAGAGAACTGAACTGCACAATAAAGGTGGCCTCACCCAGGGACCTGGCACAGCTCCTTATGGTCTCTCCTGGGGAGGAGGAGGGAACAGACTCACCAGCTGTGCTGCACAAGAGATTCCAGGGCAGCCCTGCAAAGGGCTCAGTGCTCCCCAAGAAACATGGGCATCGACTTTGGACAAGGGTATGGAGTGACAGGACAAGAGGGAATGGCTTCAAACTGGGAGAGATAGGTTTGGATTAGATGTTAGAAACCCTTCCCTGTGAGGGTGGAGAGGCCCTGGCACAGGTTGTGGGGCTTGGAGCAAACTGCGCTAGTGGAAGGTGTCCCTGCCCATGGCAGGGGATGGCACTGGATGGGCTTTAAGGTCCCTTCCAACCCAAACAATTCTGTGATTCCATGGTTCTATGATCCCAATGCTGCAGTGAGTCAGGAGCCTCTATCTGGTTCCAGGGCAAAGGAGCAGATCTGTTTGCAAATGCTGGCTCTGCAGTAGGACCACGGTATGTTCCTCCACTCTTGTAACAGGTCTGGGGCTGGCCAATCCCTGAGGAGAAGCTCGTGGCCCCTTTGTGCTCTCTCTGTACACAGGGGTGTGTGTCCTGCTGGCACAGGGAGCTCCAAGCCATCCTCTCAGACCCCAAGGGCAAGGGCAGCTGGAAGGGTGGCTGCAGCTGATGTATTCCCAGCCCTGATGACTGTGGCGCCTGAAGGGCAGTGCAGAGACCTGTATCCAAACCCTTGCTTGGAGGTGCAGTGTATAACCAATATGTGGTGCTCATGGTATAGATGGAGGCACAGTGGGTAAGCAGTTCATGGGAGCTGATCCCCAGGAAGGCTGCAGAGAGTGAGAAGGTCCCCCCTGAGCCTCCTTTTCTCCAGGCTGAGCCCTCCCAGCTCCCTCAGCCACTCCTGGTGCTCCAGCCCCTTTCCAGCTCCATTCCCTTCCCTGGACATGCTCCAGCCCCTCCGTGCCCTTGTTGTCATGAGGGACCCAGAACTGGACACAGGACTTGAAATGCCTCAGCAGTGCCTGAAGGTCTTCATTCCTTGTTCTCCATATGACCAGCAGCTCCACTGACCATGCTTGGAGTGCTGGGAGCTGTGTGCAGACCCTGCACCTCCAAAGCACTGTCCTTGCTGTGGTGGTGGCTGTGACCACCTGCCTGCAGTGAGGGATGAGCCTGTGACACACCAGCAGCTGTTACCAAACCCCTGAGGGAAGGGTATCTGAGCAATGGAAATCTGGGTCCCCTGTCCAGCAGTGCCCTGCCTTCAGCACAAGGCTGGTGCCAGAATATCCCCCGTACCCTGAAGGGCTGGTTGCTTGTCCTGCTTTGATTGAACATCTCTGCAGGCACTGGCAGGGTGAACTGTGTCACATGCTGCTGCTGCTGCTGCTGCTGCCCTGGGGCCCTGGGCTTTTTCCATCCACAGACTGATGGGCACATTGAGAAAGGGACAAACCTCAGATGAGCTGCTGTGCACTGTGTGGAGCTCAGTAACTTTGGGGGTGCCACATTTCCCATCCCTCATGGAGCTCTCTGGAGAACAGTGGGGAAGTCCTGGAGATCATGTGGTGCAGGGCTGTGCCCCACTAGTCCTGCTGTGAACTGTGTCAGCCAGGGTTGGAGCAGAGCAGATCAGCCCTAAACAGACCTTGCATTTCATTGCCTTCATCCTGCCCCACCACCAGGCTCCCAGGAATGTGAGGGGAGAGGATGGTTTGCTTAGGGAGGCATCAGTGTGGCCGGAGTGTGATGCCAAGGGGTGGGAAGAACCTGAGCAAAATCCAGACCCTAGTTGTTCCCTGCTTTGCTTGGGACTGGGAGCTTCAACCACTTTTTCTGCACCTGACAGGTCAAGGCAGCTGCCACCAGCTCCTGCTTCCAGGCAGCTTGGCATAAATCAGCATCAGAGGAACCAGATGACTTGTCTCCACTCCAGGTTGTCCCCTGTTTGAATTTGGCTCTGACACAGTTTTCATGAAAAATTTATTTTGTGAGAAAATGGATTTTCAATCAAACCAGGCATTTCTACATGAAATATTGTTTGCATTGACATTTTCCCATTTTTTTTTCAATGATACAGTTCCCTTCCTTCCTTCTCCCACCTTCTTCCAAAGAGACAAGCACAAAAATAATTCAGAAGTAGTGTTAATTTTTCAGTGAAAGTGTCTGGCTTTGGGTAGCACAGGACTGCATATTTTTAGAGAAAACCAAATATTTTTCCTCAAAACTGTGGAAAAGTCAGTTTTCAGAAATGAAACCATCACCTGTTAATGGAGTGGGGGTATTAGAACCATCTGGTGAAGAGTTTGCAGAGAGACATTGGGGTCTGTAAGCAGCCAGGAGGGGGATGCTGTGTCTCCTTGGCCCCACAGCCCTGCCCCTGCAGAGCCACAGGGAGCAGGGACAGCAGGGTCAGTGCCCTGGGGTGGCTCCTCTTCCTCATCACCCAAAGCCCAAAGTGTCCTTCTCCTGACAGGGTTCCCTGTGCCTGTCCTCCTGCTCTCAGTCAGCTCTGCCCAGCCCTTGGTTCCATCCTAATGAGGCTGAAGGAGACACCTAATTAATCTGCTCTGGTGACAAACAGCGTATTGGGCAGAGGGAGGAGGAGGCAGCTCTGGGCTCTCAGAGGACTCCTGCTCTGTCACGGAGCTGATTCCCACATGCCCCATGAGGGTGCTGTGCTGGGGACACTGCCAGCCCCTGTGCCCTGATTCCTCTTCCTTCTGCCCTATTTCTGCCTGGCCCATTGACAGGCCAAGGGAGGCTCAGCTTTCCAAAAGCTCCATGTGACAAAGGTCTCTTCCACAGGCAAAGGCTTTGAGGAATTGACCCTGGATCTGCCCAGGCACAGGTGACCATCCAACTGCAGGTCCTCCCTCCTTTGGGTGTTTGGCTCTGCTCATACAGGACCAGCGTGGGGAGCCCAAGGTCACCTGGTTTATTCATCTGGAGAAGAGGAGACTGGGGTCAGAGCTCAGTGGGGGCTGCAGCTCCTCCTGAGGGGCAGCTCTGATTCCTGTTCAGCTGGAGCAGAGGAGACTGAGGGGAGACCTCAGTGCAGTTCCAAGTGCCTGGGCAGGGGCAGAGGAGGGGCAGGGACTGAGCTCTGCTCTGGGGGGACCAGGGACAGCAGCCAGGGAATGGCTGGAGCTGTGTCAGGGCAGGCTCAGGTTGGATCTCAGGCAAAGGTTCTTCCCCCAGAGGGTGGTTGGGCACTGCCCAGGCTCCCCAGGGCAGTGGGCACAGCCCCAAGGCTGCCAGAGCTCCAGGAGGGTTTGGACAACACTCTCAGGCACAGGGTGGGATTGTTGGGGTGTCTGTGCAGGGCCAGGGGTTGGAGTTGATGATTCTTGTGGGTCCCTTCCAACCCAGGAGATTCTATGATCTCATAACCTATGATCCCAGAATAGCCCCGAACTGGATATTCTCCCCCACTCCCCGAGCTGTCTGGGAGCAAAGGGTGCTGGTGTGAGAGAGGGGCTGAGCCATGGCTGTGCAGAACAGGTGAAGCTGTCAAGGCACTGCAGCTGCCTCCAGCATGGGATGCTGCTGACTGTCCTTCCAAGGAGCAGAGGTAGTTCCAGAGGGGCCTGGGTGAGGTTCACCCTGCCAGCTGTGGCTGGCAGCTGGCTGGGCACACAGCCTTGGGAAATTCTTACTGTTTTCCAGCTCTTGCTCTTTTGCAGGACTAGCAGAATTTCTCAGTGTAGAGACGTTTGTCAATTTGCATAATTAAAGCACTGCAAACTCATCCAGATTCACAGATCCCTGCGCTGGCTCCCTGGAGACTCACCACTTCTCTCCCATGAATTATTTATTGGCAGTGCTGTTTCTAACAGGCCCCTTTGTCTGCAGTGTTTGCTCCAGATTTCAGCTCTCTGAGGTGGAGATGATGCTGGTCCTCTGAGACAGAGCTGGGGAGAGGAACAGCTCCATTTCCCACAGCCCTTCCTGTTTCCCTCTCCCCATCAGGGGAGAACAAGGGAAATTCCCTGGAACTGTGGAGCTGTTGCAGAGGGAGCTGAAGATGTTCAGCCCAAGGTTGGACTCGATGGTTTTGGAAGTCTTTTCCAATCTTAACAGTTCTGTGATTCTCTAAATGACTGTGGCAGCAGCAGCGGTTCCTGTGGAGGTGTCTGTAGCAGGGCAGCCCCAGGGCCGTGGTCCCCACTCTGCTTCATGCCTTGGGTGCATCATCAGCAGGGGCTCAGGGGCCTGGCACCTCTGCCCTGGGTGCTGCCCAACATAGACCTGCATGGCACCTGAGGGCTGTGCACGGGACAAGTGGGAATGACTCTCCACCCCTGTGTGCTGTGAACATCCCCCCTGTGATGGAGCTGCTGGTGCTCCACCTTGAATCCTGGGCTCACTTCTGGGCCCCTCACAGCAAGAAGGACACTGAGGGGCTGGAGCGTGTGCAGGGAAGGGAACAGAGCTGGGAAGGGGCTGGAGCAGCAGGAGAGGCTGAGGGAGCTGGGGGGGCTCAGCCTGGAGCAAAGGAGGCTCAGGGGGGACCTTCTGGCTCTGCAACCCCCTGACAGGAGGGGGGAGCCGGGGAGGTCGAGCTCTGCTCCCAGGGAACAAGGGACAGGAGAGGACATGGCCTCAGATTGTGTCAGGGCAGGTTTAGGTTAGATATTAGGGAAAATTGATCCATGGAAAATATGGTCAGATATTGGCACAGACTGTCCAGGGCAGTGGTGGGGTCACCAGCCACAGAGGGATTTAAAAACCCTGTGCATGTGGCACTTGGGGAACATGGGTTAGTGGTGACCTTGGCAGTGCTGGGTTGACAGTTGGACTCCATGGTCTTAGAGGGCTTTTCCAACCTGATTGATTTTGTGATTCCATGATTCTGTGAGGCAGAGGAACAGTCTGAGTGGTTACACTGCAGCCAGGCACCCCAAGCTCTCCTGCATGCTCCCCTTCCCACAGGCAGCTCTGCCTCTGGTGAGAGCAGCCACTGATTAGTCCTGCCAGAAACCATACTTCCCTGGTTCAGGCACAGAAAAAAACAACAGATAACAGGAGAGAGAAAGCCAGAGAGAGGGAAGAAGGCAGGAGCAAGTGGTAAGTACATAGAAACCTTGCTGGTGTTTGCAGGCTCTCCCTGCTGGAGTTGAGTGTGTGCTTGTAAATCCCACAGCAGAGGAATACAAATATTTGTGCTGCGGAAACACTCCCGACGAAGTCCTGAAGCTCTCCCTCTCAATTCCTTTCAGCCTTTCAGAGGCCTGTTTGCTACTTGGTCTGTGGGAGATGGCAGAGATGCAGCTGGTTTTGCACGGGCAGAGAGTGACAGGACAAGGCGGAGATTTAAATTAGATGTAAGGAAGAAACTCTTCCCTGTGAGGGTGGGGAGGCCCTGGCACAGGTTGCCCAAAGAAGCTGTGGCTGCCCCTGGATCCCTGGAAGTGTCCAAGGCCAGGTTGGACGGGGCTTGGAGCAACCTGGGCTAGTGGAAGGTGTCCCTGCCCGTGGCAGGAGGTGCAGTGAGACCAGAGCAGCACTTTCCAGTCTCATACCCCGGACTGACGTGTCACCCTGGACCTGGAGCTGGATCTGGTGGGAGGAGTTTGCAGCTGCAAATTCAGCCCTAAAAAGTTGTGATCTGCCCAAATTACAGATGCCTGTGCAGTTCTCATCCCCTCCCCACCCATGAATATGGATGTACAGCAGCGGGGATTTTAATAACATAAGCACTTGCTATTCGATATCCTGGAGCTGTGCCAGCCCCGGGTCTGCAACAGCAGGGAATGCCCCAAAAATGAGATGAGCTGTAAGATCCCTTCCCGCCCAAAGCACTCTGTGATTCTCTGGCTGAACTGGGAGCACTGGCATTGGCACCAAGGGGGCAGTTCCCAGTGCTCTGCTGTGCTGGGCCCTTTTGCCCAGGCCAGCGGGGCTGGGGGTGTCCCGGCAGTGCTGTGGTGGTTTCACTGGATGAACAACTCCAGGCTGAGTCCTGCAGGGCTCAAGGGTTTCTTTTGGCAAGCCCAGCTCTGGCTGTGCTCATCAGAAGGTGTGATCACACCTGCAGAGCTGAGGCCTGAAAGTCTAATTTTCAGCTCCTATCCCCTTCGTTAAATCAGACGAGGCGAGAAATGGTACAATGCAGTTGGGGGTTATTGTGAAAAACCTCTGCAAAGGATTTTTTACAGTGTGATGGAAGCTGGAATATTCATCTGGGCTTCTTAGTTTTTATTTTAATTTATTTATTTTTTTTTTCCAGGGACTGCTGTTGCTGATGTATTATTTATATAGCAGGAAATTAGACTCTGAGGACTCAAGTATTCTTCAAATAAGCTTCCTAATTCTGTCAATTAAGAATGCACAGGCTGCTGGGGCTCTAGCTTGGGATGAGCTGCAGAGGAGTGAAAGCTGCCCCTGGTCATTGCTCTGATGTGCTGCTACAGATATTTCAGCTGGAGGAAAAATATCTTAGTCCTAAAATCAAACGTGTGAGATGCTGGGAGGCTTATATAGAGCAGCTCTGGCTGATTCCAGTGGGACAAATAACTTCCCTGTGCTCTGACAGGGGAATACTGAAATGCTGAATGTGTGGCCGCTTGTTGTTCTGTTCTGTAGTGAGATCTGTTGCCTTTCCTTGCTGTAACAAACGGCTGCCATGGCTGGGAGCCCACTGTTGGGGGGAGTTTGGGGTCATTTACTCCCTAATTAATGCAGTAATTCTTCATGTGCTCCTGGGGCAGCTCTAGAGCAAATGAGCTGATGTGTAATTAATATATAAAACAGCATCTTCCCTCCTTTATTACCCTTCCCTAACCAGCAGGAATTTGGAAATCTGTTTGGAATTCTCCTCCTGCACCAGGCCTGTTCCCAACTATGGGAGCAGGATTAGGCACAGGGCTGCGGGACGGGCTGTTCCCACCTCCCACGGGAAAGGGAATGTCATGGGGCGGGGGAGATAGCAGAGTGTCTCCAAAATGCAGCCAGGCAGGGGGTCAGCACCACGCTGGGAAACAGTGTTCCCTTCTACCTGCCAAAGCTCAGCCCCGGTCTGTGCCCGAGCACCTCAGAGCCAGGAAAGAGCCCCGGGGGGAGCTGGGGCTGGGGGATCCTCACCAGCACGTTTACCGAGCCTTTGGTGCCTTTCTGCACGGGGATGGCAGCACAGGGAGAGCTCAGGGCTTGTGCCCCCCTTGGTGCTGCTGAGAGAGAGGTGAGATCTCTCAGAGGACACCCCTTGGTCCCCTCCTGCCCCTCCTGGCCTGGACAATGTCCCTCTCCCCGCTCCCGCCCTGCAGGCACTTCAGCTCTCTGGCTGAGGGAGGAGGTTTATTGCTGCAGCACAGTTTTTCTTTTTTATCATTGTTACGAATTTAATGTCCACTGCAAATGCAGATCTCTCCATCTGGAGGAGGGATAACTGCCTGTGCTGCCTGCTCTGCACAGGAGCTCTGCACAGGAGCTCTGCACAGACATTGCCTGGGCAGCCCAGGGACAGGGCTGGCACTGCTGCTCAGGGTCAGGGCTGCCCTGGTGACCCCCCTTGTCCTGGGGGACAAGTCCTTCAGTATCACGTGCCAAGGACCAGTTCAGAAAGGATGGATTCCTCTGTGTCCCTGGGAGTGTGGGGCTGCCCCTGTGCAGGCAAAGATGTCACCACCACCCTCCAGCCCTTGTAGGGGACATCACAGTGACTGACTTGCACAAGGCCTGTGTTAACTGAGCTGGGGATCCCCAGTCACAGAGGAGGAGAGAAATAAATTTCCTTGCTTTCCGTAACCCTTTATGGCCTTGGAAGCATCTCTTTGTCACTCTCCTTTGTCAGCTAAACAAGTTTTCCCTCCCAGCCTTCTGTAGCACCATCCTTTGTGGAAAAGCTGCTAGGAGCATGGGTTTAATTTTTAAAGTGGTTTGTAGAAGAAAAAAGATGAAATAACTCATCCATTTGCATTCAAAGAGCAGAAACACAAATCAACAGTTCCACAACACTGATCAGCTGTAGGAAATGCCGTGTGCTGGTTTAGTGCTTGGATTTGTGCACAGGGATGTGGGAAGTGCCCTTTCCACCATTTCCCCAATCATGGGCATGTCCCTTTGCATGAGCAGCAGAGATGCTGGGAGGTGACTGGGACCTGTGATGTTTTTGGATTGTTGGAGGGTGAGTGTGGCCCCTCAGTGTTGCTGTGGGGTGGTTGAACATCCACAGCCCAGTCTCAGCTTCCCTGGGAGTACCACACAGGATCACCAGGGGCAGAGCAGAGCTGAGAACAGCTCCCATGACGAGGGTGTCCTACCCTGCTTGATCCATGGGCTCTCATTATTTTGGCCCCAGCCCCTCCCCGTGTGCTCTCCAGAATCTGGTTCCTAATCCCACGTGTCTGGATCTTGCTTCCCCTTCTCCTGTCTCCCACAGGATGCAGCACTCTTGGCCACAGGTTGCCCCTCTACCCCATCCTCCCACCTCTGGTTCTGGTGCCCTCCCTCAGTTTTGCCCTGGCTCTGGTTTCTCTCTCTGCTGCCCCACAGTGCTCGTGAGCCAAGGGCAGCATGTCCTCCCTCTGTGTGGCCACCACTGACCCTCAGATATGGCATGAGACCAAAAACTGAGAAACTGGGAGCAAAACTCAGCTCTGAATCTCTCAGGCTTCAACCCATGTGTTGACTTAGAAAAGCTGCCAGCAGGCAGCTCACAGGCTGTTTCTGCTTTGAAGAATCTTGTGAAATCTAAACCACACGTGGCATTAGAGTTCTTCATGCCCTTCATGCTTGGGGGGGGGAATAAATGCTTTTCTTTTCAGCTCTGGTGAATGCAGGGCTGAGCCTCTCCATCTGAAAACGCTGGGTTTGCTATGGAAACCAGGCCCTGTTGTGACAGCTCTCCAGTCCTCATCCAGGGAGGAATCAGAGACAAGGCTCCTGGGTGGGGAACAATGAGCAGGAGAGAGACACTGATCCTTTTCTGCACCTTGCTGGGGCACATCTGGAGCAGCTCCTTGCTTGGCTGGCCTTGCTATCAATTTGGGAGGGCAGTGATGGAAAGGGGGACTGGACACAGGGAGGGAAACGCAGCAGAAATCTCTGCATTCCGCTCATTTCTCAACTGATTCTTTTCTCCTTGTTATTCCTCTTCTCAGTCTTCTTTTTTAGTCCTGCCAAATAGGAATGTACAGAAATATCAGCCACAGTGTTTTAAAGAGGCAGCACACTTACAAAACTAGGATATCTGTCATTAAAAGTTTGGATTATTCCTGCTTTTCTACTAGTTGTCAGGAGAAAGAGCTTTGCAGGAACCTGCCAGCCCACTGCTGGGGATGTCTGTGCTCCACATGGGACTGTGGGGGAGAAGGAATAGCTGCACAGTCCTGGGGGGCACTTGCCTGTCATTCTCAGCCATCTCTGTCATGGGTGTGGTGCTCAGCAGAAACATCCTGCAATGGTCAGGAACAGAGGAACCCATCACTCACATTCCTGAGCTCCTGCCTTTGCTGTCAAGGCTCTCCATAGTGGAGCAGGTGCCTGCAGACCCAGGAGACATCAGGAGGAGGGTTTGGAAAGCAGCAAGGCATCTAGAGGGGCAAAACCTACTGCACTCAGGGTCCACACTAGTTGTCCCTGGAGGCCCTTGCAGGGGTGTCACTTCAAAGACAAGAGGGATCTGCCCAGTGTGGGTGTGCACAGCTGATCTCACTGTCCAGTGGCATTGATCTGACCAAGCCTGGAAGCCACCTTTACACTCTTTACAGTCAGTGGAGTCCAGAGTTTCTTCCTCCCAGTTTCTTTCTCCACACCTGCAGTTTTTTCAGCTGAGCTGTGTCCCAGGGTCTGCAGCCCAGACTAACAGGATGCCCTCTCCGAGCTACGGTGTGAAATGCAAACACCATCTAACTCTGGGATCTTGGTACACATGAAATCCATGCTTGCACCCCTTAAAGAGAGGGAAAAAAAATTATCATTACCATGGATCATCACCAGGACCCTTTCTGGGGGGTCCTTGGCCCTCCCTTTCCTCAGAGTAACCCTCCATCCAGGCCCCAGCTCAAGGCAGGAGAGCAGGCAGGAGAGCAGGCAGGAGAGCCTGCTGCTTCTGCTGCTGACACCAGGTCTGTAAATCACCTCCCCCCTCCTGCCTGCTCTCCCCAGGAGTGCTTAAATCAACTCTAAATGAGCTCTTTTAAGGAAATGTAGGCAATCAGTGGTGAGTTATTGCAAGGCACAAGGGCTTTCTTAAAAGCGACCAGCACTTATTGGTCATTTGGACTCCAGAAGGCACAACCCTTTAAATCAGAGCCCACAGGTTGGGCTAAAGCAGAGCCTCTGCCACTGCCTGGAGAAGATCTGTGCTGGAGGGTTCACAGAATCACAGGATGTGCTGAGCTGGAAGGGACCCACAAGGATCATCAACTCCAACCCCTGGCCCTGCGCAGGCCCAGCCCCAAGAGTCACCCCCTGTGACCGAGAGGATCAGCCAAACCCTCCTGGAGCTCTGGCAGCCTTGGGGCTGTGCCCACTGCCTTGGGGAGCCTGGGCAGTGCCCAACCAGCCTCTGGGGGAAGAAGCTTTGCCTGAGATCCAACCTGAGCCTGCCCTGACACAGCTCCAGCCATTCCCTGGCTGCTGTCCCTGGTCCCCCCAGAGCAGAGCTCAGTCCCTGCCCCTCCTCTGCCCCTGCCCAGGCACTTGGAACTGCACTGAGGTCTCCCTTCAGTCTCCTCTGCTCCAGCTCAACACACCAAGTGCCCTCAGTGTCCTCACACGCCTTCAAATCAAGGCCCTTCCCCATCTCTGTGTCCCTCCTTTGGACACTCTCCAATGGCTCAATCCCTTCCTTCCATTGTGTCCCCCCAAACTGCCCCACTGTTGAGGTGAGGCCGCCCCAGGGTAGAGCAGAGTGGGACAATCCCCTCCCTGGCCCAGGGTTTCAGTACCTCCCTCCTTCCCCACTGTCCCTCCAAACCATCCTCTTCAGTACTGTGTGAATTCAGGCTTTGGCTGCTTTTGAGCCCTTCTCTAGCTCTTTCCACACTATCCTGCTTGGAGAGCAGCTGTAATTAGAAGATCCTAGAAAGTGGTGCCCTGTTGCTGAGGAAAGGGGTGTCACTCCCTTCCTGAGTGATGTGATTCCTGAGCCTGCCATCAAGCCTTTCCTCATCCACTGTGTTTGCAAACAGCAGCTACAAACCTCAGCTGTGAGGAGGGAAGGAAATTCTCAGAGAACACACAATTTGGGACATTTCATTCACCTCCTTCTTTCTGAGGTTTTGGGAGATGGATGAGTTAATGTTTTCATCTTCTTTGCTAGAAAAAAGAACACATTAGAATGAAAGTCGTGATGAGCTCCTGAGTCCAGACGGTGGGACTTCAAAAATGTGCTAAATATCATAAGATCAGTAACAAACCCCTGAAAGTTGGCGAGAACTGCAGTGTGTGAGTGCCCACACATCTCCCTGCCTTTGACAGCCTGGTTGAGGCTCAGGTGGGGCTCTGCCTCTTCCCCCCCATCCCGCCTTTCCCAAGCTGTACCAGGGAGGGGGGCAATGGGATCAGAGCAGCCTGTGTTTAATGTGAAGACAAGACATTCATCAGCAGCC